AGTGTCTTAGAAATTCTAGACAAGGACATATCTCCCTTAATGAAGCCACGTGTTTAAATTTTCGAGGCTGCACGGTAGAAAATTTAAATTATTAATCGGATTTATTAATAATAATATATGATAATTATGTGCCGGATCCGAGGCTCTCGAGGATGCCATAAATAAATAAATATAATTACACGTTTCGAATGGGAATTGTCTAGAAGAGTAGATGAGATCGATCCTTTAGATTGGCGACGGTTTCGGGTCGGATTTAAAATTGCGATTCGCAAGTCTGATTAAAATGTAGATTCGTCGACTCTTCTTCTCGAGGAGATATTTTCCAGTCGGAGGTTAATAAATCTGCCTTGCACTTTAGCCATCCCTCATTCGAGGCTCTCCTTTTCCCGAGTCCTCGCCCATCCTATGGTCTCTTCTCGTTGAGGTCCAGGCAATATCTCCCGGTCGATGGGACTTCGGGGATCAATTATTATCTCGAGGAGCACTTTCCTCGTTGGCATGTTCTGTCGAATGTCCGTCGGGGAGCTTTAGTACGACCTCTCGATCTCCGGAAACGAGCGAGGTGATCTACGTAGCCGAAATCATGGAGGAACTCCGACAAGGGCCGCCCAAAGATTCGCGGATTTTGCGTCTTGGAACTTCCTCTTCCAGGGCTCCGCTGCCTCGGATATATAATATAATACTTCCGATAAAAAAATAATATAATACTTCAGTCGGGAATCGAACTTCATTCTAAAAGAAGTGCCTTGAGGTCTTCCCTGAAGTCCTGATCGGAAAACCACGGAGAGACCAGGAAGAAAAAAAAATCCCAATCTAACCCATTTAAATTCTTTCCTGCGTAAATTCCCCTAATTAACAACCCCTGTGAATGGTTTCTAAAATTGTATTTAGATAAGTTCACTCGAATCGAGGGAAAATAATAATTCACCAGGATCCTAGGAGCCACCTCCAAGTTAAGGGTTAAGTCGAGCTTCGGAGTTCGACAATTAGTGTCTGGCCAATAAGACCTTGGGGATGGATGACCAACTTGGGAAGTACCTTCCTTGTTGGTGGACCCTAACAGCACTTGCCGGAGCTTTAGAGCCGTCCAGTTCGGGTCCTTCGATCTCCTGACCGGCGACCAGAATCTCGCAGGAATTAGCGTTAAGACGTGGGTTATCCAGATCGGTCGACTTTTCAGAAAGTTCCTGCTTGAAGATCGATATAAGTGTCCACGGGACTTATCGATGAGTGGTCTAGAGGAAATGAAACGGCCAGAAGTTTGTCTGAATGCCGATAGCTCCGTTTTCCGCATCGCGGGATGAAGGGTCCTTTACTCGGGGGTGTGGAAAATGGCGCTCTCAAGAGCTTAGCTGGGAAAGGCGAGAATAAAAAGTCATAAGTCGGGATTCGAGTCGAGTCCGAGTGTCGTTTGCGAGTTCTCCAGTCGAGCTTTCCTAGCTGGGTCGGTGCTCGCAGCTTTTTACGATGGAAAAGGCAAACACCTCCCGCGAAGATGCGCCGATCGCTCGCAAGCTGGGGTTCGTAAAAGGTTCATCGAAGTCGAGAAATCCAGCTTTCCTTCTCCCTCCCCGGTCCCCCGTAACGCTTTATCGGAATCTCTAGAGCGCTCGATCGCGAAAGCGTGAATTCCCCAAAGAAGTTTCCAGAGAGGAGAACCTGGCTGGGCGCATAACGAGTCCCCATAATGAGACACTCGCATTAACCGACTCTTAGAGCCAAACGAACCCCGAGATGTCCTCGAGAGGTTTCGAAAGACCCTCTAACGATCCTAATTGAAAGGACCATCCATCCCTGCCATTACTTCGTTTAGGCAGACCGGAAACTACTTCCGAATCGCCATTTCTCTCGAACTCGTCTCCACCAGAAGTAGAACTCATTTCCGGGAGGAGTCGGATCCACCTCCACAAGGAGCCTTGGAATTTCCTTCCTGACCGAATGAGATCCTTCCTGACACCTATCCTAGTCTCTCCTCCGGAAGCCCCCTCTTTCCAAGCTTTCAGAGAAATCTTATTTATCCGATTTTGTTTCCTCCACGTCCGAGACTGACTGATTTCCTTTCTCTCATCCCCTTAGCGTCGGCGGGAAGAAACGAAACTCGCTAATTTGCCCATTGCACGCTATTGAGGGAAACTAGTTCCAAAGACGGGGGAAAAACGGGCGTCGAGTCGTTTTGCCGAGAAGTTTGTAAGCTGGGGCTCAGTTTGCTGGCAGGACGCTTTTCGGAGTTTCTGCCTCGGGTAGAATAGTTAACCGTACCATACAACGTAGCCTTTCGGATGTACCGTGCCTTTTCCGTATCTCCGGCTCGAGCAGTCTCAGCTGCAGGAACTGTTTTTTTATCCAGGGAGTTGAGTCGTGAAATAATTCAGTAATTATTTTTAATATCGATATGCCGGGAGGACTGAGTTATTTTACGACTCGTGGGTGCCGCAAACGTAGTAAATGCCGCGCGGTAAGTCCATTTCCCGGGATTAATGGCCGACGTTGTTGTGGATCATTGTTTTGCAATGAACGTTACTCTGTCCACCGTGTAACGGTTACGAGGAACGTAATGAGTTGCACGCGCGAATGAGGTGCACCGTGGCTATAAAATTGATATACACTTCGCGCGTGCGGCGGCACCACTTCGTCACTTTCGACGTGCGTTTTCCCAGGACCATTTTGACGTTTTTCGTCCTACCCCAGTTTATAGGGGTTTTTAAACGTGTCCTTTGACGCAGAAACGCCTACGCGTTTCTTGACAATCCTATCTCCCGGGTCGATAGAGTCGGCCTCCTTTGGAGGCAATTCCATGGGACCTCGTAAACGGCAGAAAAGAAGTACTAAACTGTATCTTGTCCCGTCGAAGTCCAGGAATCGAGTGCCTGCCGATCGCGGGGGCCTCCAGGATTCTCGTAAAGGACGAGAGTCTAATTTGCCGATAGAGGAAACGCCGATCCCGGAGGATTTCGAGGTATCGATTATCGATTGCTGGTCTCCGCACTTCCGGCACGACCGGGGGTGAAGAGGCACCGAAATGGGGGTTGAAAGGCCCACGTGCGAGCTGTAAATTACGCGGTCATTATTACCGTACAGTGCTTGACCACCCTATCCGCTCGTGGACGGGATTGCGCATGAACGTATACACGATACGGCGGCTTCGTTATTGCCGAGGTGTACGGTAAGCTAACGATAACTGTTGTAAACGTTAATAAGCTTTGTGGAACACTCGAGAGGGAAATCTATTAACCTGATTAGCGCCAGCACGGGGCTGCCCCATATCCGACTGGGAATGGATTTGGATTTTGGGGATCAGAGAAAGATCGACGGCAATCCGTTTCTGCCCCGATAGAGAGGATTTAGATCCCTCTTGATCGTGGTCCTGGCAAAAAATGGCAAAAAATTCTTAGGTTGTGTCATTGGAACGAATTTGATCGGCTTTGTTTTTAGGAATTTAGGGAGTTATGGGGGAAGGTATGATAAGAAGGGAGGGCAACCTTCTTCTTTAAGGCTCACGTGAATCGGGTCCTGGTGTCGAATGTTTAGGAGGTTTAATTTCTAAATTTATTGCATCTTGATCAGGGTAAATAATAAAAATATCTGATTTATCTGGATACTCGGCCACCAAAGTAAGAGCTTCCTTCTTCACGTCCCATGCTCGTCCATAGTTCTCCAGCTCCCTTGCGACTCCTCGTTCGGTCCATACATCCTGGATAATGTCCAAAGTGCGGAAAACTTTGATATATCTCCGGTCCCTAACTCGTTCGAAATCTCGCAGATTCCGGACCTCGTCTCATCGGGCGTCCTTTCCGGGCTGGACTTGGCCGGACTTTCCCAGACTTTGCCGAACTTCCCTGGACTTCATTCAACTTCATTCTCCGCAACCTCCCCACCTCGACCGGATGTGTACCTATTCCTTTACCGGTTGAGAAGACACACCGTGACGACATTGCAAACCACTGTTGATCCCGTTTCCACCGGCATTTGCATTCGCGTTCCCGGCGAAGATTCAACAGAGAGGGTGCAGCTCCGGATCTGGACGCACCCTCTGCACAGAAGTCACCCCGAAACTCCAGAAACCACCCTCTAGTTAAACATATCTTAAGCTGTGAAAATGTCCACATCTCAAAAATTCCACGATTTTCGCCGTGCCCACAATTTAATATATCTAAACCACACAATTACTACAATCAGCGAAATATGGTATCCTAGCGTCAGCGAATGATTCCAGGATTTTTACCGTATCCTTGGTTTAAAGAAATTAAACAAAATAATTATTACAATTACCGAAATATGTCATCCTTGAGTCGGTTAATGGGGAGGAGATTAGCGAGGTTTCGTGGCAATTTAACGGGGCAGATTTCGCAGCCCTGGAGAGTGCTCGACCCTCGCGTGGAGAAACGTTAGCTTGCGGAAAATTCCTCCCCTAGGGAGGAGGACTAAACAGGGAAGAGCCTATTCATAATGTCCTGGATATACAGGAGGGTCCTTCGAGCGTGAAACTGAACGCGAAAGCGCGAGTCGTGTTTCCCCTGGCCGTAAACGACGCCCCTGTTTCCCGACGTCGCCGATACGAAACCGAGCCCCGAGAGTGTATGTAAATAAAAAGAAATAAAATCCTTCCTTCGTGGCTTGGCCGATATCCTCCGCGAGTTGGCCCCCTTCGATCATACCTCGCGACGTTTATCGCCGGGGCCGCGCGTCGCGACGCCCTTCGGGGCCGCTCGCGGAAACTCGAACGGGAATTTGACGTACGACTTTCCGCGGCATTTTTCCAGATTTTCAGAAATACACCTTCCAGGAGCCGAAGGCCGGGGGGAAGCTCCCGAATTTACGGGAGTTCCGATGACAATAAAAGCTCCCCCCGCGGTTTTGGGTCAGGAATTTGGAAATTGTGCTCCCCTCGATTTTTATTTTCCACTTCCATCTCCACGGTCCACTTGGCTTGATATCCCACATTTCCGAGATATTTTGACCGCGTGGAAAACTTATTATTTTTCCCCGATTTTATATTACAGTACCCTGGACCGTGCTGCGCGACCAGAGCGAAGGAGGCATCGAGGCCGACGAGAGGAACATGGTCCACGAGTTCGAGGAAGGGTTCGACAGGGCTGATTTCAGGACCGAGTTCAGCCCTAGTCCTAACTTGGAGGGCCCACAACCTCAGCCTAGGGATAACGCCTCGAGAAATGGCCCCACCGTGAGTTCTTCCCCTCCGAGGGCGAGGACCAACAACGACGGTGAGTCGCACATTCTTTTTTTCTTTTTCCATCATTTTCTACTTTCATATTTTTCATACTTCTTCATGTTCTTCCTCTCGCTTTCGCTGCATCTGCACTGACGCGTGACACCGCGAGAATCGCGGATATTAAGTAAAGAGGGATGAAATTAATTCGTATGAATTGTCAAATAATTAACTTCGGGCCTTTTTTAACATTCCGGCGGAGGTAGACCGCCCCTTTCCTGTGTTTTCATTTTTAAAGTGAAGATCGTGCCGCACTTTTCAGCATATTCGTCGCCGAAAGGCCGCCAAAGGGGAGGAGTAAACGACTCTCAAAGAGGGAGGGAATTTCGCGCGTGCCCAAATCTCCTCTCCACTTCGTTTGCGATCTTTCCGCGATACCGGACGAATTCGCGGGCCATTGAGAATCCCCGAAAGCCTCGTAAAGCCGGCGCTTTGATGCGGTATTCCCTTTATAAATTTACAATCGGGTTAGCAGGAATCTCGTTCTACGTTCTAAGGGAAGATTTTCCGGGGGGTTGGCGCCTTTCATGCGGACCGCGGATGATCTCTCCGCGAGAGGGATTCCTTCGTTTGGTCCTCTTTGCGTGCTTTCGATCAATCGCCGGAACCAGGAAGCACCCCAAAAAAGAGGAGGTCCGAATATAATCCCCGGACACGCGAAACCGGGAAGAACCCATTTGCCGTTCCGGTTAAAAATTGAAATCCCTCTATTTGTTCATTATCGAGCGTCGGGTTCTCCCTGAAAACCAGCGAATGTACGTAATAATTAAAACTGCGAGTCTCGGGGGCGCGATGGAAATGGAGGTGTAAAATCAACCCCGGAGGATTGGGGGGCTCAAAGTTTGCGTTGAATCCTTCGTTTTCTGACGGCCTCCTCCCTTCCTCCGTCCCTCTTCCTCTCCGTGTCTCCCTACACCTCGCAAAGTGCGAAATGCAATTAACGCGACGCCTGGCGTCGTCGTAATGGCATATCCTCGACGAATGCGCCGGATCAACCGGATAAATGGGTAATATTAGCCGGCATGTCGCCGGTTCCATTGGTACCGAGCTGCGAACAAGAGGTGACGAATGCCTCGCGAAAAGGGAATCAACCGAGCGAGATGGGGAAAAAGTGAAAACGCGGAAACGCCAACCGCTCGGCGAATTACACAGAGGCTCTCGTCGCTGGAGTTGCTGCAATTGCAGCGAGCTGTCCCCTTTTTGCGCGATTGGCTCTACCGGAAGCCCGAACGTCACTTCGCTGGGGGAGCGTTATTTTTTTTTTTTTCACATTTTTTTAAGTGGTTAATTGCGGTTTTTGCGGATTCGCCCAGTAGATCTATCGCCAGTCGATGGCACGAGCGGATTCAAATTTGACAGATAAACGATCGGGTTTCGCGGGCTCTGCAGACGCCTCCAATTTGCCGATTCGAAATTGCTGTCGGGCTTTAGACTCTTAGGAAAACAACTTCCGGTCGAAAGGCAAAATTAGCGGATTCGCGGCGAAAAGCAGTGACCGTAATTCGAAGTCAGTCGATCGATGGGGTGCAGAAATAGCGATAGGGGGCGAATAGTTGACTACGTAGGGGGATGGGAGAAACCAGATTAAAGGCAGCATCCGATTCGGCAAATTTGATTTAGGACCGAGTAATTAAGTCACAGACGTTGTGCATTGCACGCCTGGCCAAACTCTTGCGGTTTTCCGAGTTTGCGAATCCTCCTTGCAAGTCGGAAGCTCGCAAGCTCGCTTTGCAGCGGCACCTCTGTGCACTTCGACCTGGAGTTCCCCTCGAAAAATACGTCGAAAAGAATTCCAACGAATCTTTAAACACTCCACTTCCAGAATGGACGTACCATAAAATTTGAAATTAAAAATGGAGCCCAAGAAAAATCGGCCAGCGAGGAAAATTGGATGATACATCTGTACCTCTGAACGATAGGAGCGTAATTTCAAAAATCGTAGGAAGATGGAAAAAGCAACGTTACATTCAGGTTTTGGGTTCAACAAGTAGCCGAAATGCTCTCGGAACTTTCACCGCTGGAATCACTATCCGCGTAATTTTAGGCCGCTGCTAGCCGGGGTTGGAAAAAAAAAATCCCCGAAAAAAAAATGCTCCCGCGCGGTTAATCAAATTCCACTTAAAAAAAATGAAAGAGAAGAAGAGAGGAGAAATCCACAAACCCAATTCCGGGAGTGCCGTAACCCCAGTCCTGTGGTCAATGGGGTGGGTCGGTTTCGGGAAGGTCGAAAGTCCCGAAAATTACATTGGCTCGTCGGAATTTTCGGCAAAGTACGAGTCTCGCGCACATACGTCAACGAGGTCTGAAAGGACGGGGACAAAGCTCGCCATAAAGCTGCGGCCCTTTTGTCCCGGAAATGGAATCCGACGCGGAAGAGGCGTCGCGACGAATCCCGCCGTCGTTTTCGGAACTACCGATATCTCCCCTGTAGCCGGTAACAGTTAGCCGGGTAAGCTGGCCATCCCTTTAATTAGAAGTCTGAATTATTCCCCGAGTCGAAATTAACTCGAACGGACAAAAGGGCGAGGGAGAAAGAGACGAGGAGTAAAACGGAGAAGAAAGGCGAGCGGGGAAGAAAATCCAAAAATCTACAAAAGAGGGATAGAGGACCGAAGCGCTGGAAAAATAGGAGATAGAAAGCAAAAGCGACGTGGGGATGGAAAATGAAAATCCCGAAGAGCGGAATTTCGGAACTCGCAAGGGCAAGGAATATCGAAAGTGGAAGACCCTTCGCCACGTTCGTCGCATTTCGATGTTGCGTACCTACTGTACATACTGTGCGCACTTTCGGGGCCATACGTGCAGAAAATCGAGTCCCTGCTCTCGTAAATATACCCGAGTCCTCGGTGGCTCTGTTAATGCACTTCGGGAGGACTTCCTGGACGGTGAAACAATAGGGCCCACCCCCAGGAGATGAAACGACCTAAACGGTTTCGTAGCAATAATGAGAAAACTTAGGGAGCAGCTGAGGGAATAACAAAGTTAATGCGGTAGTAAATTAAACGGGGTTTTAATGCGACACCGGGGTTACCTCTCAGGTGTACCGCATTGGTTGGTTTTTTATTTCTTGATTTTTCATCGCCGGAATGAAAATTAACTGGGTGCTCATTAATTGGCATTCCATCCCTTCGACCCTTTTGATATTTTTCTGAACGATTTCCCCTGGGAATATTTTTATCTGAATTTTTTCCCAAGCTTCAGCGACATTTAATCTTGGGATAGATCAGGGTGTTCCGAACTTGCACTAGATTTACTGACGTGTGAAATTTCGGGAACGCGCCGCGAGCTATTTTGCGAGATTATGCGACGCGTGTCGATGTCACGCCGAGGTCTTTCGGGGTGCATCATTAGGGTTAAACCGTATGCAACGAGAAAGAGACCCGCAGGTCGCAGTGCTCCCGACTTGTCCAATTAAACGGTAGGTGCCTGGCAAATGTTCCGAATTTATCTGGCGAGGCCGCGTCAAAGGTACATTTCGCGCGCAATTTAGCGGGATGCGTTATTTCGCGATGCAACGCTGCGTTTGGATTTCCAGATGGGCTGGGCTGGTTTATCGAGGAGCTGCATAACGCCCGAAATTGAAATCCCAGGGAAGATCCGCCCCAGATTGCAGTTACCGAGAGTGCATCCTCGGCCTCTTGCACACCTGATGCCGGTTCGCTCCATTTAGCGTATGGAAGGATTTATTTTGCAATAAAAATGAAGTCATACCTTCGATTAAGCTTGCATGGAACTACGTTTAAATGCCGTCAGTGCAGATGCAGCGGGTCGTCGTGTTCACACCTTCGATTATATGCACGAGGCTTTAATTATCTCTGTCACAGCGGGTAATAATCGTTTATAGTGTGATGTAATTTTCTGGTGCATGCGCTCTGCTGCAGCGGGCTCCATATCTGGTGCAAGTGCATCCATACGTCGCTTACACTCGTTACTCGGCGTCGTTCGCGAGGAAAATCGCTCGGTCGTGCGTCACCTCTTTTTACGCTTTTTACGTGCTTAAAGAGATGTGAATTGCATTATGTCTATTGTTACCCTGCTCTACTTTTACTCACTGTCGATCGTCTATCGGCGTATGGGGACTGGGAGGTATCAGCGATCGAACACTCCTCTCCCAGGCCGAGTCCTAATTTCCCAGGTTACATGTCTCCTAATGAATGTTACATGTCAGACGTATCGTTAAATATGTAACAGCCGAACGTGCATGCGACATGCTCGCATTTAGGTGACGACATAAAGCGTGACGTGTCGGGTATCGATCGACAGTACTCGCTGAAATGTCCTTTCGAGCTGGATTCAGACGCGTTTCTTTGCGAAATAACTCCATTCCCGTGAGATGAAGAGATAGAAAATAATTTTCAAAATAATTCGCACCATGGACAAAGAAATCCCAAATTAAACGCGGAGGTGCTAAGGACGTCTCGGCTCGCTTCGCAATTAAAGAGAGCCGCGAAACGCGGAAAAATGTTCAATTCATTTACTTTCCTGCTTTTGCGACGTACCTGAACTTCATTTTCCTCTCGTTATGCACATGCCCAAGGAGGGTGGTTAGCTTTATGTGACGCACGCACGCTTAACGAGCTCTCGTTAAATTGCACCTCCGCGTCATATCAGAAACCTTTCTGGCTAGTGCACAAAACGTTATTTTGCACCGGGGCGAGATTCGTTTGTACGCAAAAATGGCGCCTTTTTAGCGCCGATTTGTGGGACACTTTTCCAGGACCTTTGGATCCTTTATGGCCGCGAAATTGAGGAGAGAGAAAAAAAAACGCGAGATTTCAGTACCACGAAACCACGTTTTTCCTTAATTTTTCAACGGCTAATTGTCGTTGCAACGCGCTCGAGGGTTATTAAACCAAATCATTGCATTTGCAATAAGTGTTTCTAATTAGCATGCGTCCCATTTCGCGGTGATTGTCGGCTGAATTTCAGGCTCGCGGGCCAATTTCCGCGGTTCCCAAATTCGAAATCGGCATTACGAAGCTCGGCCCGATGCATTTTGCATCACTTTACAAGGCAGATCGCAATGTGCCCGCAAATCCAAACGATGCAGTATTGTCTGAATTCGTACCGACCTGCTCAGATTTTGGAACAAATTGGAGCACGAATCGACTGATTTTCGATTTGATCGCGCCGGATTTTCCTCCGAGTACTTGCTCGCTAAAGGTCTGAGGATTTGTTGAAATTAATTCTAAAAGGATTAAGGGAAGAATCGTAAAATAAAAAGTTCCCCGCGGGAGTATACGTCAGTATTCTTAACGCGGGAATATCGCGAGGGAATTTATGGGGATTTCTCGCGAGGCAGGGTAAGGAATAAAAAAGAGAATATTAAATTTCCTCGAACAGCAAGTTCCTCTAAATCCCCCGGCAAGTTTGGCGTCGCCTTAAAAGCGCTCTTATTCCAGCATATGGAGTATTTCCTTTCGTAGCCGCGCATAAAAGTACGAAACGCCGCGGCCCAAAGTTCCGGCTCTCTTCTTTTTCCCCCTCTTAAACAAGTTATGCCGGGCTTTTCTTTACACATTCGTTACAAAGGAATCGCGGCGAGGTGGTCTCATTTCGCAACTTCATACGCCGGGGTGCATAACAAGTCATAAAGAGAATTTTTGAGAGCACGTCCCGACTTTTCTCCCGAAATAATCCCCTCGGATCGAGCCACCCCTCGCCATTTAATTCCGCACTCCGCGTTTCCTCGGGCTCGGTTTAAACTTCCTCTCGAAATTCAATTGATTAGCCCTGATTAGCGCGACACGCGAAGTTAGCACGATGATTCGATACTTCGTGCCGTTTATTAAATACACCCCCGCCAGAGGGGTGCTTCATGGACGAACAAGGGATGCTAATTGGGAACATTTGTTAACTGGAATTATCGCGTTTCGGTGCCGCCTAACCTCCTACTGAGAAACGGACGAATAAAGAGGATTTTAATAAATTGGACTCACTTTTTTAACGTCACAATGCCGTGTGAAATTTGATTTTGTCATTTTTACGGGGAGGGGAAATTTATCTTCCGACTTAATGAACAGACGGTACGCTTTCCCGAGCCGGCGGTATGAAAATGCTCGGTGCTCACCTTCGTTACCATCTGTACTCCTATCAGCGCGATAAGTGCCACTTCCCGAATGAAGTTTGTCGTTACATCACTCTCGTGCGTAATCCACTGGTACAGCGAACCCGCGTATCTCGATTTGCGGAAAAAGCAAATATCGTTCATAATTCGCTCGTCGTTTCACATGTGTTGGCCCATTTTTACGGCGTCGCGTCAACCACTGGAGAGCCCGGAATTACTGGTATATTTCATTTATTATTTCGAAATGAATTTTCCGTGCCGGCTGCCTCATTGATTAATCGTCGGATATTAACAAATTCACCGGGAGTAATAACTGCTTTGAAACGAGACGATAATTGCTCCGCACTCGGGACGGTCGTACCGAAAATGCGTATTTAATTAGGTTCATTCGTGATGAAAAACCGTGATAACGGTACAGTATTTACGGGGAACTTTGCAAAAATAATGTCTCCGGGTAAAAAAAAAAAATCGGAAAAAAACGTAAAAAGTAACAGGGGATCGATTAATCTCGATTTTTGCCGGGCTTTCGATGCGTCCAATTCCGCTAGAGGGTAATCGCTTCACGGAAGTATTCAAACGACAAATATGAATGTTACATGTCAGACTCTTTTAATTCCGCAGGTATTGCTCGTGCATTTTTCGGGCTTTGTGCAGTTGCACGGTGACATGTCGATGCCTCGGGCTCGAAATTAGAGGAGGCGTGTCATTTGTTATCGAAATGAATTTTCCACGCCATCCGCATCGCGAAACGAAGACGAGCAACGAGCAGACCCGTGTAGAATTTTTTTCCCAAAATTTTGTCAAGGTGTTAACGAGTAGATAAACGAATAGCGTAATCAAATTCGATATTTCTGTCGTTACGGAACGCCGGGATCGGATTTTCACGAATTCATTTATACAGGGCAAATTTGGATTTTCGGGGCCGGGTGGAAATTTCGCAGTAATCCAAAGTGCACTAAATTTCACATAGCGTTATTAACACGTGTCATCGCAATAAGCGTTGTTTCCGGAGCGGAGCCTCCGCAAAGTTTGTTATTGTAACGTTGCCACGGGTGACCGCAGAGCAAACGCACAGCGCAAAGAGTACACATTTCAGCTCCGTGAACGAGCGTTGGGGGATATTTTATAGGTTTTACGGTAGTTTACGGTGGCCCGGCTCTCGGAGTCGGGATTGCTCGACATTTTGCATTTATTATGGAAATGAATTCCCCGGGAATTCCCCGGGGAATATTAACGGATTCCGGCCAAGTCGCGGCCCCCCTCCCGAAGTGGCTCGATAATTACTTTATTGTCCCCATTTTGCGGCAGAAGTCCGCGACGTCTAAGCGGAGTGCAATTAGTCCTTACGCGCCGATTACCGCGAGGATTGAAATCCGGGAATTAAACCGCGGTAATGGCAATCGTAATCCCTCACTATCGGGGGTTGCTCCCCCGCGTAAGGGAAATCCTGCGGATCGGCCGCGGGTTTTACAGATTTCCCGGCGAGTATCGCGGGAAATTAATTCCCCCGCGGATTATTCCGCGTGTTGGCGGATCCGCGATAAATAATAATTCATCCGGGAGTGGGCCGATAATTGCTTTATGCTCACCCTGGACAGGTAATTTATAACGAGGAACCGAAATCGAGAAATCCTTTGAATCGCCGAGTTTCGCGACTCGGTGCGAAACTACTGGATGGTCGTGGTTTATTTGCACAATAGTCGAGACCACGTCACGAGGTCTTTTCCGATCCTGCGATTATCATATGGACTTATCAGTTTGCTCCCGACGCTCGAGAACGGAGCGTCTCGACGAGAGCGTCGCCGCGAATCCGCTCTATCTGCCAGGTGAAACGCTTTCTCGAATCCGGTATTTTCAGTCTCTCGCGTCTCTCCATATATCCGTCGAGGGTGTCAAAAGGAAGCAAAAGTCCTCCAATTCGCGGATATTAAAAGTCCGCCAGGGATTCATATCGCGATAATTGCAGAGTGCGCCAAAGGAGTGACGTCGAGGACCTCTTACGAGCGGTGCCGCGTGATGTCGCCTTTGTGGGAATCCGTCCCGTCGATTTCTTTTTCTTTTTTTTTCTTTTCGACGCTTGTAAAATGTGTACCCACATCCGCTAAGAATTAACAATTCGCCGTGCACTCGCTTTGAGCTCATGAAATTTCACCCTGCTCTCTTTTTCCCCTCTCCGGGACACACGGTGCACCCTCGTTGGTCCATATTCACCGGTCCCTCTGTCCCTCCACCGCGTGCAGTTGCATCCCCCGAATTTCCCTCTCTTCCTGTCTCTCGCGAGTAACGAAATAACGCTCGCAATTCTGGGATTCTAGGTGATTACCGAGCTTTATTTTCCCCCGATCCCTGCTTCGCTCGCCCATCATTTATCCCGGACACGTACGTCTGTTCGAGTCGACGTACGTCCGCGGGTACTTCTGTAAATGCGTGCGCAATTGTACATACATGCCTACCTACGCGCGTACATATGTACAGGGAACCTGTCCGCACCTGCGACTAAACGACGTTCCGTCGAACGATAATCGATTCTCCTCAGAATCCAGATTTCCTCCGGCATGTTAATTACCCGCGATAATTCCCCGGCGTGAATAATTTATACCGGCTTTCTCTTTGTCGGTAGGAAATTTATACACGTCGAGCCCGACTCGTTTATTTACCCGGCTTTTCATTGCCGGTGAATTTCCTTTAGCCATTTATTATTTATTTATTATTAAATGAAGTGACGTGAATTATTTTCTGATTTTCCCGGGATTTTTAGTGGACGCGCGGTACAAGTTAAGCTCTGTCGGTACGGTGGGTAAAGCTCGCAAGCACGTGCTCTTACCGACCGACGTTACCACGGGGATGATGTTGGGCGACAATGGGGTTAATAGTAAGGGCGAACCAATCGCCGTGTCCCCGACGAATTGCACGACGGTCGTCTACGCCTTCCCCGAGGAGGATCGCGTGGTTGTCGGATATCTCAATGAATGGATCAATGCCTACTCCTTCATATCAAGTAAGTACACCCAGAGACCCTGGATATCATCAGCTGATCGCGTCAGACTTGACGGTCGATAACGAAACTGCAGCCTCTCGGTCGGCAACCTTCAAAAGCTGCTCCAGAAACGAGCTTTTTACCATCCCTCCCAAATTACACATTTCTGGTGCCGGTAACTTAATCACAATTACTATAAATCTTTAAATTATCATTTTTAATCGGTCCACTTGCGGTATCAAGAAATTCGAGAAGTCCTCCAAAAAGCTCGCGTCTGGACCACTCGTACACGGTTCCCTGTCTTATCATTCCCGAGACTGTCGATAACGTGGAAAATGTCCCTAGATAAAGCTCGATTTACCGATGTGTCGTGTTCCTGTGCCGATATATGCATTCAACCTGGTCCACAACCATCTGATAAACAGTTGGGATAGGATCGATCCACTTTCCTTACCGTCAGATGTTATCCTAGAATACGTATCCTCTGATAAGAACCTCTAAGGAAAATATTAGCTGAGTAAATTGATTAAAAAAATTCTGCAGAAATCGATGAATTCTAATTAACGAGGGAAAATGTTCATCGACTCGTTACGATGGATGGTACTGTCCCATTAGATGAAAGGACAGCGTGAAGTGTATCGATGTCGAGGTGTAAATTGAATATAATTAAACAATCATTAAAAAGAGATAGAAAGGCTCCCTTTTGATCAGCAGTTCGCTTTGCATTTCGATTTTGTCTGGCCTGATAATTTCTCTGTGGAATCGTTTCACTGGTCTCTAGAGAGTAGTTGTGCATGCGATTGACTATTTGCGTGGATTTTCATGGAATTACCTCGACTGATTGGAACAGTACTTTCGACGTTTATATCTGAAAGTTTAATTGATTACTTCCGGCCCGATGTAGCGTCGAGCGCCGATGGGATCGCTGAATAAATAAATGTTGGAAAAAAAATAAATGGAGTTATCGTATCGTAGCCATCCGATTGGACGTATTGTATCCGTTCCTCTGCATGCTGCTCATTGAATTTTTACCCATCTTGCTCGTATTTCACTTGTTCAATTCTCCGTGGTACGAGTAATTCGAGAAATTACCTCTGCCACGAGGAGGTCTTTTTATCATATACACGACCTGCCGAATCCTCGCTCTAATTGCAATTGAAATTTCACAGAGAACCAGGAAAAGTTCTATCTCTACGTGATCGTGTCGGTGGCTGCTGGCATTTTGCTCTTTCTGGGCATCATTATTGGCAGACTGTTGGTCAGTCGTCATCGGGCAAAGAGGAACGCGAAGTTCCACGCGAACAACGAGACCCTGCCGAATGGGTTCACCGACGACATTTCCGAAATCGACGCCGACATCGACCTGACGACGCCAATTCCTGTGTCGATGAACGACGCCAGGTGAGCTCGGAGAGATCATACATCCATACAGAAAGAAATTTCCATATCCTTACGCAGTTGCCTTACGTCATTGCCTTACATTGGATTCAAAAATAGTCTAAATAAAAGCTATTTACAGCCCAATGATGTTTTCAAAATCACTTTAAAATGGTATATAACAAGGACACAGAAGAAGAAGCTCTATTCGAACTTGGCTTAATCTTGAATAGCAAAAACTGCGATGATTTTCTGAACATCCTAATATTTCGTATATCTCTGAGGATTCAAGGTGTTTTTTCTGCCGACTCAAATTTACATGCGATCTGTCGCTTTTCAGGACACCGGAAACGCAATTGGCGGAGCGTTTACACGGGGAGCGGTATTACGTCGACTCGAGGATGCCGTTGTCCACGGCGCCCGTCCATGGGACCCTCCACCCCATCAGCTCCGGGATGCGAGTAGATCTGGGCAACCACATGGTCGGGACGGACAGTCTGCACACGATCCTGCGAGCCGAAAATCCCAGGAGTCTCACCAACAAGAGCTACTATTACGGCTGACAAGAGGAAGGGGTTGCCCCCCGCGAGGGGCGACCCCATTCCCTGAGCCCCGTGCCGGAAGTCAGCACCAGGAAGTACTGCTTCTAGAGGGCTCGCCTCGTGGACGGAAGACCCTCTTGCAAGACCACTTGCACACCATGTACATACGTCGCGATGAACCAGGAACCATGGTACCAGCCACCAAAGAAGAAGGACCTCCGACCAGGACCCCCTGGAGAAGTGGCAAACCATGGACAATTAACACTAAACGTTCTCACCAGGAAGAGCAGTGACTGAGAAACGACTTGCGGAATTGTCCTTTGTACATACACTCACGCGCAGTGGGTTGAAGTGAGATGAAACGATGAAACAATGAAATGATGAACGATATGGGGCGGGAGGAGACTCCCCTTTAGGGTCGCATTGAAGATCATCGCAATCCAGGTGGTAATTCTTCAATGAGAGGACCTGGAGTCCCTTCTGGATGCGCAAAATGTCAGCTGTATGGTGGAGGAGTGGAGATGAATCTGCTAAAGGATGTGAAGTGCGAGAGCATGGCGCTGCCGTGTACATAGGAGCCTCAAAGTCTGGAATATGAGCTCCACGGTAACGCTAAGCCAATTACTCCGTGTATATACGTTATGACAAACCGTTCCGATGAGAACAGTGAGGGAAGGCTCATCGAGGGCCACCCGAGATGGGCGATGCATCCCCGTCTTTGCGGGGGATCCTCGCGCTCGATAAATCACGAGATAATTGGCAAATCGGAGCACCTAGACCGATCCTCGGGTATGCAAAATGTACACCGGCTCCATGAACTCCATGGAGTTTCGACCGAGGCTTAATTAAGGGGTCTACTGTGCAGGAGAACCACAAGACTCGATCCCCGATCGGTGGAGTTCACTCAAAGCGAACGGTTCCTTGAGGTTATCCTGTGTACGAACCTTGGAACTCCTTGGGAGAACAAGGTGGTGCACTCAGGGCCTGGTTGCGGTCATGGCGCGATTGTTTGAAGTATATGATATTGTTATAAATAAATGGAAGACACGTTTCTGGCGCCAGGGTCGCCACCAGATCCGGGGAGCCGGCAGAGGACCCTCGTGTATCCTCGACGACGTCGAACTTAGTTTTATCAAGGATCTCATGAAATGGACATTTCATCCCTGCACTTTCTTAGGGAATTACTTAATTTATCCAGAAAGACGTTTTTATAGGACGCGGATCGAGTTTCCGGTGATTTGGGGAGTGGTCGGTGAAGGACGTTTGCCTTAAATCTTGATCCAGATTTAGAAGGGCGCGGCGCTGATGAGCGAATCGTAACGCTTTGAGTGTTTCTTTGATTGGATCTATCTGGACCATGGATTATGCCGAAGGGGTGGAAGGAGAGTCTCGACTTTGACGCATCTCGCTGCTCCGAAATGTGGACCAAGATTTATTTCTAGTTTTCCATAAGCCGGTTAAGGTGTTAAGAGATACTGCCATTAGCGGGATCGCGAGATGCGAGGAATTCCGAAGCGGCCGATCATTGTGCGTTTACGAGACTGCCTACCAGTTTGCATTTTCAACGCGTATCGACCACGGAGGGACGAGACCTGCGGCCCACCTCGTAAAATGCCAACATTTCTTCTTTATTGCCGGAGAAATGCTCACCGCGGATATCGCTCTGTCGGCCTGGGAAAGCTTCGGGCGTGGAAGAGTAAAGAGGATAGACGCAAAATTAGAAAAACAATTTTTATCCCGACTTTTCCAGGAATTATTCAATTTCAACGACCTACGGTACACTAAAGGCATACTGAAAAATATTCTGAAAATGTTCCTAAAGTTTCGTTACGTTTATAATAATCCTTTTCTGGGTAAATTTGGTCTATCCTCTAGGAGGGTGAGCGAGTGGACTGATTTGGAGGAGGCGGGATAATTCTAAGATGTGTCGAATCTCATAAGTTAATGTGCGATCCGATCTGTACCGAGAATAATTCCGTGGGATCGGCCGAATGACGAGTACGCGTATTTGGCGTGGACTATTTTGCGGGCCGAGCTCCGAACACTAACTCCCGAAAGACTTCTGCAACCGTGTATATATCGACGTGTACATAGACGTACAATTAAGCACATGTTTACAGGACTTAAGGAAAGTAGCACGTAGGACGAAAAATCGGACCGACTCTTGAGCTTTTTCATTGACGGTCGGGGAGTATTAGTGAAAAAAAAAAATTGGACATTGGCGATTCACGGACTCGTTTTTCGACCTGACTTTTGTATAAAAGTAATCAGCAAAATCCCTTCTGCGCCGCTTCGTCGCGTATAATTTTCCAACAATTAAAACGTATTTAACAATGAATCGTTCCCGATTTATTTTCTATTAAATTAAACATCCTCATTTCCGGAAAGCCGCGTATCGTCGAAGGTTTGAGCTTCGAGATGCAAGAATTGTTGGTCCACCCTTCGAAGTGGAAAATCAGTTCCTATCAGTCATTCGCCAGAAAAATCAAGGAATCTCTTCTCGAAGCTGCTTTCCGGCAAACCGTCTACGATTGGACCTTTAAAGAAATATCCTTCCCCTCGGCCGGCGTTTTAATTGGTCACGTTAATTAAGGCTCTCCTTCCAAGAGCCACTGAATTACGAGAAGAAACCCGACTTGCTGGGGGGCAATCCTAATTGTCGTGCAACCTTTTCCCTCCTATTATTTTCGCCACCCTGTCCGTCTCTTCTTCTCTCTTCCTCTTCCCTACCTTGACTCGAGCGAGAGACTAACGCGTCGGTCTTGTTTACTCGAAAGCTGCGAATCCAGCCTCCGAGTACTGTACCAAAGATAATTAGGATCGATTGACAAAATGATAACTCTATATTCTTGTTGAAGCATTTTCTGCGGAGTGCCTGATACCCTGAAGAGGCGCGGTAGATTGCGTGCATCCCGAAGCCACGTTCAATTTCATTCGGCCTGAAGCGATTTCGGAGCAATTTCGGCAAGCCCTGGCTAAAGCTGAGACAAATTAGCTAACTTTGGCCAGAGCCCTCGCAAATCCCATTTCGTTGACCCGTTACCACAATTATCGGCTCCGATGGTCATAAGTAACTATCTTTATTTATTACCCTCACTCCTTAATTTTATCATGATTTCGATAATCAGAGGTATAAGAGCGATGTTTTAAAATCTTTACGTAAAAATGCCTTTTTTGTACAAATAGCAAATGTAAGACAAGTTTCGTCAAATTTGCGAAACACTCATGAATAATTCATTTTGGCTTTGACAACATCGCTTCTTCTCTGAACCGTCTTGAAGAGGTGCTCGATCGAGGTTAATTTTTTAATTACGTATTCTAGGAACTACCGAATTAATTTATAACGTTTTGAAAGGATGTTCGAGCGTGCTTTACTAATTAATAATTTTCCTTAGAATAAGTTCGATATGTCGGGATCATATCGCGATCTTGACAGGGCCGGAGTAAAGTAATTTGTTGCGACGCACGGATGATTGTTCATACGGTGCATAGGAAATTGTAAAAAAGAATCTGCTTGCTGGGCGAGTAAGACACGAGAAAACTAGACCCTAATTTATTCGTGAGTTTGGAGAGAATATTTTTGGCAAAGGAACCGCGTCGGTAAATTATTTTACCTCGCTCTGCACTGTCACCGGATTGCACTCGAAGTGCATCTCTGTGCATTTCTCCGACACGTGCTAGGTGTGCGCGCACTGTATCGCCACGTGCGTTAAATTAAGTAATCTTTTCTACGGAAACAGTGGGAAAAAAAAAGCCAAGCGAAGAATATTACGTCAATAAGTTTATATGTGATTATTCAAAAACCTGTACATATTGCTGTATAAAAAAAAAAAAGAAGTGCAGGTCTAAGCCCGCAATGCACCCTTCGAACCGCAGTCTCCTCTTGGAGGCACATTGCGACTCATTTATTTTATTTGATGGGCACCTTTATACTCGAGAAATAATTGTTCAACCATCGTTTAAAAATTCCTACTCGTTCTTTAGCGATCCTTATCATAAACGTGTCCTCTTCGGTTCGAAGGGTACCGATAACGATTAAGTCACTCGCGAGTTGTACCGTCTTGCATTCGTAACTGACAGTAGACAGTGTAATTTCCAAGCGACTGTAAACAAAAAAAAAATCAAGTAGGCGAAAGGCGTCGAGTCGATGTCCTGCGAAGTATTATCCTTCCAAGTCTGTATTTTTAATAAAATCCGCAATTGGACGCGGCATAGGCAATCTCGGTGCTCAAAACCCGGTGTGAATCATTCGATCAGTCTGTAAATACGAGTGCGACTCATGAATGTGGGAACCGGAAGGAACGAGGCCGTGAAAAAATTCATCACTGCCTCCGAGAGAGAATTCCTTCTCCTGTAATAAAACCGATGTCCGTCATTTCTCGTTAATGTAAATGCAGCACTCCTGCATCTCCGATTCACTTGACTCGAGAGGTGTTACTCCGGAATAAAAACCATTAAAATTGACAGCCGCGGATGAATCATGTCGAATGATGGCCAGAACTTGATATTCACTTATTTCATGATTCATCCTTGGCCACACCTGTCATATGCTGTCTAATATGAAAAATCGTACGCGAAACGATCGTGGAAAGGGAAAGTCTACTGAGAGCACAAATAGCGGAAATCATGGAGATAGTGTATGATTTATAAATCATTGATTTTTGGGGCGAAGTCAGTAATTGGTGCTCCTATGTAGAGGGACTCCTCCTTTCCGTGTAATGCATAAGTGATTTGATTATTGGACAAGGCATCCTATTTCGAGCACCAACCCATGTAAAAAGAGAAACTGCGATCGGGATAAAATATCACAAAATCGACGGCACGTGATCAATTTTTATTGAATAACGACTTAAAACGTAACCGACTCATTTTAACTGTGTAAAAAGTAAAAGCCTGAGATATAATAAATGAAATAACTGTAAATCGTATTTCTGAGTGGAATTATTTTCGTAGGTAGTCCTTCCTGCCTGGTAGAATAAGTTTGATCAGTATGTCCTCGAGTGTCTTAATAGTATGTCTATTAACATCAATGAAAAATCGCCGCTAATTTATGTAAGGTATTATGTCTCGCTCGGAGTCATAAAGATGCAATGAAAGTTATCGAGTCGTAGTTTGTCAAAATTCGTGGAAATCATACCGTAACGGAAGTGACGGAATAAACGTCATTCGCCTCAGAATGTCGTTTTGCCGATATCAGTTAAAAATCCGGCCACGAGATGATAACTCTGCTTTTGACAAGCTTCGGCAGAGCCGAGTACGAATTTGCAAGCCTGGCCGAGTCGCAACTGCACGCGGTTCGGCATTCGCTCCGCTTTTTTTTGTCCCCCCCTTTTTTCTTTTTTATTATTCCTGGGAGTGATTCATCCGCGACATGCACCGAGTGAGGGGGACAAAAAAGCGGAAATGACACCGCGGGATTTTTTACGTCGCTGCAGAAATTCACGATAGAAGGGACGCGTCGATGTGACACCGCGTCTCCAACGCCTCCTGTCCTCGTAATTCGCGCGTGCCGAATAACCGGGAATTTATGAAATCCCAGAAAATTGATTAACTCAAACGTAACACCGAACAAATGGAAGGGGATTTACCGATTCCACAAAAACGTTCGACATCCGCATCAATACTAGGATTCAATTAATCGAACTCCAAATTTAAGCGCTACGTATCCACATTTCTTATCACAGCTGGCAATTATCACCGACTCTGGTCCACTTAAAAATGCTTTCTCAAAATGTTTAATTGTAGTAAAAAAGAAGTCCTTTCAATGATACCTGCATATGTACGACTTGCAGCTCATTCCCGGGGGACAGGTAATTTCGAGCAATTCAGTCCTGGATTGTAACGTCCATTATTTGCACGGTACTTAACATGTCAACGGTATATTTCATAATTCCCATGAAGATCACAGTTGAGTCACTGCATGACGTCGGGTTAACCTATCGCTGTTAGATCCGTGGCGAAAGAATGTCGCGGAAAGAGATATTAAAATTAATAAAGTGGTCGCCGACACGAATTTCCCGCGGTCGGGCACGAATCGGAGGTCTTTCTGTATTTTCAGCCACGCAAATGTCAGAAATACGAGTGATAGCATCGCGGCTTTAGATAATTATTCTTGTCGCGTGCTATTTTCGAAGCCTCGCCTCGATGAAAAATGGCCGCTCGATAATTCCCGGTGTACGCGTGTACGACTCTCTCGGTAAATTCGTCGGCGAGCTCGAAAACGAAACCGTTGCCTTTCCGTCAAAGCGAATCGACGCGTCGCGTCGGTCGAGATGCTTTTTATCGAGGACGTTTGATTGGAGATTGTTAATGCTGCAATGCGCCGCACTAACGAGCGCCCGGCATTTAATTGAATGGCGGAACTCTAGAGACCCTTAAGTCCCTGCTCGATCGATTATCGTTATCGGCCGGAAGATATTTCCCTAGAATTTTCCTAATCAATAACCTCGTCCGCCCGCGGCTGCCACAATCTGTAATAATATTTCCCTCCTCAAAGAGGGGGGAGAAAAAAAATTAATAACCCCACATTATCAGGGAAAAGACACGATGTAATTCCGCGAGAATCTCCAGGATTTGTGATTCCGTCTAAAGATCTAGGATTTAGATAAACGTAATTTTTCACGGTTTTCGAGCTTCACGGTTCAATGCTTGGATGGGATTTTTTATCCACTCCCATCGAACAAGGAAAATGGCGCTAGGTGTAAACTTCATCTGATAAACCGTTCTTGTCGGCCCAGTAAAACCACCATTCGTTTCCCCTCGAACTTCCTATTTCGATTCTCCCCCGTAAGCCGTATATACGATCCGATTAAAGTAACAATAGGTAAAGTCGTGTAATGGCCACGTAAATCGCGGTACGCACCTATCTGCAATCCCGAAAACGCATTCATCCGCTTTACGGTATTACGCGAATCTCGCGAGGATCGGATGGAACAAACCCGGGGCAAGGTACACCGTATACAGGGGTCTAGGACCTTCCGTTGTGGGGTTATATCGAGTTCTAGTAATATTACAGGGCTCGAAAGCCATTTTCCCCTAGCGCGTCTCTGCGGCCCTAGAGTCCGCAGTTCTTGAATCTCTCAAGAGTGGCATCGGCGACGATTCCGTTTCCCTTTTTCCTCGGAATAATTCTCCTCTCCTCTCGGCTGTCTTCCTACATTTCTAATTCGCTTCGTCGATGTGCTCGTCGACGCGTTATCTCAGGCTTTTGCATGAAAAGGTGTATTTCACCTCCCCGCAACAGTGCCCTTAAAAGAAAAATTAGATTTCATTTTTATATAAAATCCCAAGCGGAAATACGCGTCGGGAAATGTCTTCGAGGAGTTCTTCCGAGAACTGTTGATTCCATTTTATCGCGAGAAAATCGGATCAAGTTGGGGACACGGTAAATGTGTGTATACGCAGCTCATGTACCGAGTTACACAGAGTTCTCGTAATATCGAGGGCTCGAAATCTCCCCTTTTCCTGGTTTTCTTCCGTGATCATAGAAGAGGATGCTGGCCTCTCTTAAAGGTGCGGCGTCAAAGCGATTCTCACACTTTTTGCCACATACAAAGTTGAGAAGAAACGTTCTCCCCGTTTCCTTTGGCCTTCTATTTTCCTTCCTCGCCCCCGCTTTGCTCTTGCGTCAATTCGGTGCCTCGCCATTTTGTTCGGGGAATTCTTTTAACACCTCGGATGGAGAGTGGAAAAGTGGAGGTATCTTTAAATCATTTTTTTTTTTCTGTTGTTTTAACAGTGCCATTTACATTTAGTACTGGGAATTTTATTCGGGTGTAGTAAATGTAAATGTCCATAATGGGCAATGCAAATGGCAAGCCCATTTTTACTCGGTTTCCGGCGGCATCTGTATCCAATGTGCGGTGGGAAAAAACTGACTCGCATGTAATCGCACGCCATTGTGTCTCGCAAGTCCGACGAGCATGGAAGCTGAAAAATGCCGCACATTTATATTCGCGATGCTTCCCACGCGGAATGTCAACAGAGGATTCTCAAGAGCCGTAACAAAACCTTCATAAGGGTTTTCAAAAGTCGCATTATTTTCTCCGGCGAAATTCCTATTGTTCTCCGCGACCTCCCCTTGCGCACGCAAATCACTTGTTTGCTCAGGATGAAAGAGAAATGCGTTGAGTGGGGTAAAATTGGTAATACAAGAAAATTGCACTATGGTTGACGTTACGAACACTCCACTGCATGTGCGGCTTTACCGCCATGTTTCCACAAATTACGTTCACTTCCAACGATGCTTAGCCATGAATCCTATATTTTTGAATTCTTAAAAAATTAATTCCGACAGGTGAAAAATAATCGCATGGATCCCAATGCTTGGTCTGAGAAGATAATTTCGTAATGACGCGAAATATGTGCATTCTGCTTTCCTCGGTATAATCGTGCCCTAATCGTCTTGCAACATGACTTGTTCAAATACGAGCTGGTAATATGGAGAGGGTTAGGAGGTGCACGGACTCGCAATCAAAACCGTATTTACATCGAGGCAGTACACAGATTACATGCAGTTTAATGCAGATCTACAACGCATTCCCTTCGGACGGGTAAAATAATCCGAGTGAAATTTCAACGCCCCAGACAAATCTTGAACCACTTCTGACAACCCTCAAACTATACTTATACACCCCATAAATTTCCGCCATTCTACTTAAAAAAAATAAATCTGAATTGCACGAACCTCCGTTTAATTAATATAATTATTGCTCAATGTCAGTTCCACTAGTTACCCCGAAAAATAATTTCCTACCACCGTATTCCTTAAATTATAGAATTTTATGCACAAAGCCGATGCATCGTCAGCGGTGCAGTCAGCTGTTTCGGTCGCTTTGATATTAGCCCGTTATTTCTTCTTCTATGGCGTTTTCAATAGGAAGGGTGTTCAGAAAATATGTTAAATCTCTAAAATCTGACGTATGCCTTCACGCAATTGTTTTCCCTGTCTTGTACATCTTCATTGTATCCAGGCGCGTCCTAATTGCTTCGCGATGCACCGACTAGATGCAGAAGGCGAGCTGCAGTTCGGAGTGGCTTAGATGCATAAACCGGGGGTCTAAAATCGTATCTGTGTGCAAATTACACAGGTTCATTAGAAGTTCTGATGTATGCACCTTGAGAATCTGAGCGAGTTAGAATAGTTCGCGGAGCGAGTAATAGATTCGAGCGTCCAAAGTGGGCCGCACACCGAAAAGGAAGTCAAAAGTTTCGCTATAATTTTGTTGCCTGCGGTATTGCAGTTCGCTGAGTTTCGAGGGCAAAACCAAAAGCCGGAATTACGGGGGGAAAAAAGAAACGAAAGGAAAAATAAATAACCGTCACGCAACTTCTGGTTTCGAAAATAAAAACGTTACACTGGTTTTTGTGCACGCAACCGAGTGCACCCATTTCCTCGTCAAGGGAATTTTTCCTGGGCGAAAATGAAACAGTACACCACCTCTTGTACTAATATAGGAATAACGTAATGACTTGACATTAAAGGGGCGGAGTCGGCTTCAACGGTAAATACAAGGAATATGAAGTCAAGTGGGCGATATCACATTCGTGTGCAATTTCTGCGAGATTTGCCAAAATTGGCTACGTGCACTTCGATAATCTAGGGGATTTAGTGAAGGGGGTAGTTTCGGCTTCCAGGTTCCCCCGTTCTCAAAGAATCCATATTTACCTAATTAGAGATTACCCAATTCAGACAGAAAACAGACACACCGTTTCATGAGATATGCAAATAAGAAGTCTGATTCGAGGGTTGCGGACAGGAATTACTCTTCGGCGTTCCACGATGCTAATGTGCTCCAACTAAAATTTTGTTCACCACAGAAGTCTTCCGAAATTTCTAATTTTTTTCTTTTTGGAAAAGGTTGTAAAAATCATTTCAAAGTATCGTTAATATTTCAAGTCTGCACTCT